CCCGCCCGGTACCCGCCCGGTACGCCCATGATTATATTACATCAACCACGGGTTTCGAATTGATTTTTTCAAGCACATGCAACAGTGGAAGTTTTTATAGTTCTTCAATATTAAATATTTTATACTTATTAACTAAAGTTATTATTAAGAGAGATTTGATTGCTTTGACTACTTTTTGGCTTTTTAATTTCCCACTCTTCGCCCGACTTATGTTGAACATTTGCCCGACTTTTCGACTTTGTAATCTTTGGGGGGGGGTAGAGAATGAGTATACCGCCCAGATAACAGACAAAATTAAGCATGAAAGTTGCAATTGTAATTCACGTTTGCGTAAAAGTAGGCCGTACGGTTTTCAAAAAAATGGAGCGACACAGTTTTCAAAAAAATGGAACCCATTTAGATCGGTATTTTAATAAATTGTCACTTAATTGAGTATACTAAAACAAATAATTTTATGAAATAAAAATTGGGGGTAGACTGTTGCGGTATTTGAAAAAAAAACGAAAACCGACACCGGAAAAAAATACCGATAATACTGATATCAGAAAACTAACAATGTCCAATGAGGTTAGTTCTTGTTTTTCTAAAACATTTGTAATCCACTGTTGTTTACGAGCGAAATGACATATTACCGTACTTTGCAACGTACGCCAACGTAACGTATAAACAAACACGTTTTAGATCGCGCTTTAACTCCCTTAATTGACGGATTTTCCCGCGCCAGTTAGCACATTGATCGTCTTTGTCCTTCTGAAATAACTTCAATCAGCGCTTGAAAAAGCTTGATATGACGTTTAAATATACAAACGTAAACGTGATATCGATAATACCGAAAAATATCGATATTCCGATATGAAAATTCCAATATCGAGTAATTGGTATTTATACTGAAAAAACGATAATTATCGGTATATCGATATGCCGCAACAGCCTAAATTTGGAGGTCACCGATGTCTTTTACAAGTTAAATTACTGTAATTAAATTCAACCACCCACAAGTTCAGCGAATCTACCAGCATTTTTGTCAATGTGGCCATAGTTAATAGAGATGTGGCATATCTAAAAAGATTCGTGCAAAATTTTGGCAGTTCATGGTATAGTTCGGTTTTAAATTTTTTGCGATTTACTGACGCACGACCCACGACCCACGACCCACGACGCACGACCCACGACCCACGACCCACGACCCACCCACCCACGCCAAATAGACAATCTCCTTTATATTAATTGTGCTACTCTAGGATCTAGAAGGTCCTAGAAGAACCATAGGTCCCATACTCGACTAGCAACATAATCAAGTTAGTTATGTTAATTCATTATATATAGGATCAATGTTAAAGGCAAGGTGGGCTATAAGCTATAATCATTTGTATGGCTTATAGAAGGCTAATTGCCGTGAATAAATTGAATAATGAATGTAGCACAATATTAAATAGTTGCATGATGACGTCAAAGAAACTAGTCAGACTACATTTGCAAGTTTTGCAACTCTCATCGCTTAAATTCCCCATACCTGAATACAAAATAAACAGTAAACAACGATTACCTTTTACATACCATATATAAAACGGAGTTTTCATCCTTTCTAGAAACTCACTTCCTAAACTTTTGAGCGCAAATGTAATGTATTAAAAATGAGTGATTATAGCTTTAAAAATGTATATCATATTCACAGCGGTTAATACCATTAATATATCGTGGGCGCAATACAAAACAAAACACGAGAATTTTAAAATGTTTTGATTTGCAAATAAATAAATAATATTTGATGTCATAAAAATTTTTAAATTTAACTCAACACAAACTGGTAAGTTCATGACATGTATAATTTACTTATATGTTGTTATATTGCAATTCTGTACCCTACTCCTTTGAAAATTGTTTGCAATTGCATATGATGTAAACATGTGGTCATGTATTATAGTTGTGTCATGGATTTAATAACAGGTGGGAAATTTGTCTGAGCATGCGCGAGCAAAATGAGCTACGCAATTGCGTGGAATACACGCAACGCGTGTTTACAAAAAGGCACAGTCGTGTAAATATTGCCAAATGTTTGTACAAAATAAATGACTGTTTTATGTTGAAAATGGACATGATCTAAATTAATCATACAGAATTTTTTAGTGACGGTCTATTTCAGTACCCTGCCATTGTCTCTGGTGGGCTGTCCGTGTGCATTCGATCTGAAACAGTTGCTACTTTGCTGTCGAAAAATTTCGAATGTTTACATGAAAATAGAGGCAAGTCATGCATTTTACAACCTCGTAAACTGTATGAGCCCCTATTTTTACGCTTATACCTAAGATATCAAACAAAAATACATGAAACAGAGAACATTTTTAGAAAGTTTTATCGTGAGGCCACGGCCAGTTTTTAAAATATGTTTATTTCTGTTCCGGTCATCACCAAAATTACAATAAAGTCGGGCTTGCATATACAACAAATTTTGAATCTCATCAACTACAAAAATATTTAACGTGTAACAAAAATATGCTCATGAAATCGAAATTAATAGCTAAATTTTCAAACTAGACCCTTCTCGAAGCGGTTTTCATGAAGGAAGTTCACATTTCGGCCTTCGATTCTTGGCAAAAATTTGACCACAACACGTGCGAAGCAACTGGGTCTCAAAGACTCAGCTAAAACATTGTGAGCCCCTATTTTCCTGACGATATGTTTGATACCTACAAACGCCGAAAAGTTTTTTCTTTTCATTTAGCTATACTTGAAATTGAGGCCACGGGCTATTTTTGAGAAAATACAGTTCAAAGTCAAGCTATTTTTACATATTTTCAAAATTTGTCAAATTTCGCGAGCTTGTATTTTGAACATAGACAGCTGAAGTTACATTAAGAAACATAGGATGGAAAATTTGAGGCATATAAATTTAATTTCAACTTACATTTCATTCTCATATCACGTCTTTCTTCGTTTATTACGGTTTTAAACAAGCCACAGATCGACGTATACGGTGTTTACTCCCATGTTCACGTCGCCATATTAACTTCTTCCAATCACTCGATTACAAAACAAATCATCCCAAAACAAAGAATTCATGGTCGACTTTTAAAAGAATAACCGTTAATTTGTAAATCCTTGAATGGAAAGCAACAAATCGTCAGCTAAAATAGCTTCTTGCTAACTTTCTGCTTTGTTTTGAATGTAAATGCAATGAGCTTTGTTTATGCCCGCGATTTTTTGGTCAGCGACGACAAATTTCCCACCTGTTGGATTTAATAATACCCCAATGGCTTCGAAATAGACAATGGATGGAAAACGTCATGAATATTGCGGAACTTATTTGTAGTTGAATTGGATATGGTTGATGCCGAAAAAAAAGGGAAAGAGGCTTTGATCAGTTTCATAGAGAAGCGTATTGAATCCAACGAGGAAGTGTTATTTTCTGCCGGCTGAGGAACGAAAGAGGCAGAAAATGTTTTTCTCACACACTGCTGGGGGATTGGGTCAAGGGTGGGGTCAAGGTCATCAGAGTCACTTTTTTGCTTGCCTCGTGCTAGCCTGACCTGTGTTGTTTTTGTTGAGCGAAAAATTTGCCTTTGTTGGCTTGGTAGTCATGCCAAAAGAATCAAATCAACCTAAATCAGACTCTAGAGCGTTACGGCGCCTAGATCCGTACAAAAGAAATCCTCCAGAGCGGGAAGAAAGTCCAGAACGAAGTTCGCGCCATTCGAGTGGCGAAAAAGCAAGGTCGCGTCCTTCGCAATCCGCCAGTCGTTCAGAGACTCGTAGTCGCTCACGTTCGCCATCTGAACCGCCACAATGGGCGAGAGAGTTGTTAAAGAATCAGGAGGATTATAGCAAAGAAATGAAACGTCTACAAAGCGAAATCGAGCGTGATCGAGCGTCTATGTCGACGCGGGATTGTGGGCAAACTATGGGTGTTGTTTTGTCTACTTTTTGGTGAATGTTAAAACGAACGAATGTACGTACGTGAACTGTCAACAATATGCGAATAAATAAATAACTAAAAAATTGAATTGTCAATACCAAATGGCCTGTTAGGGGCACAATGGCCTGTTAGGGGCACAATAGCCTGTAAGGGGCACAATAGCCTGTAAGGGCAGAATCGCCTGTTAGGGGCAAATGGCCTGTTAGGGGCACAATAGTTTGAAAGGGGAAAATACCAGAGTGGAGTTCTGCCCATGGGGGCCGTTGTTGTTTACCTGACAAGAATTATGGCAAGCTTTGTCAAAGCCTGTTGCAGAGTTGAACCACATGACAGTTTTTGGAACTCAGTTCAGCAGCAAGTACCAATTGGCTTCGGGTGGCCTGTCAGGGGCGCAATCACTGTGTAATTGCCTGTTAGGGCAGAATTGCCTGTAAAGGGCAAATGGCCTGTTAGGGGCACAATAGCCCGTAAGGGCAGGATGGCCTGTTAGGGGCAAATTGGCCTGTTAGGGGCGGAACAGCCTGTAAGGGACAGATGGCCTGTTAGGGGCACAATAGCCATAAGGGCAGAATCGCCTGTAAGGCAGAATTGCCTGTAAGGGCAGAATTGCCTGTAAGGGCAGAATTGCCTGTAAGGGCAGAATTGCTTGTAAAAGCAGAATTGCCTGTTAGGGCAGAATTGCCTGTTAGGGCAGAATCACCTGTAAAGGCAAAATTGCCTGTTAGGGCAGAATGGCCTGTGTAGGGCAAATGGCCTGTTAGGGGCACAATAGCCCGTAAGGGCAGGATGGCCTGTTAGGGGCATTAATGGCCTTTTAGGGGCACAGTATCCTTTTAGGGGCACGATATCCTGTTAGGGGCACAATATCCTGTAAGGGCAATTTGCCTGTTTGAGGCACAATAGCTTGTTCAGGATTGCCTGCCAAGGAAACAATACGTATTAGAGTTACAGTGGGCAACACTTGGAAGGACTAAATGACAGTTGTTATCACATACATGGTGTATGTGCAGGTGGAGCAGCAGCAGCAGCAGCCGCTTTGGGTGTGCCAATCCTGTTTCACTAACATGGGGAGTGACAGCCTAGGACAGATGCTGTGAAGAGAGATTATACTCTTTGTTATTAGTAACAAAAACTGTTAAGATAAGAACACTTAATTAAGAGGCTTCTCCCAAAGCCTCTTGAACACTCTATGCGTTTTTGCCTTGCGTGTGCAGCATCCCTCAGCTGTGTGTGAGAAGTGTTATTTTCTGCCGGCTGAGGAACGAAAGAGGCAGAAAATGTTTTTCTCACACACTGCTGGGGGATTGGGTCAAGGGTGGGGTCAAGGTCATCAGAGTCACTTTTTTGCTTGCCTCGTGCTAGCCTGACCTGTGTCCCACCCACCCACCCTATTGGCAGGTAGTGCCTAGTTATTATGCAGTTGCAGTAGTGTGCTAACTAGAATTGGGTTTAGTCCAACACGTGATAATTAGTGAGTTGCAGTTTGTACGGATCCGTTTATTGTAAATATGAGATATTTTTGTTGATTAAAGGTCAGGCTGCCTTGCGTGTGCAGCATCCCTCAGCTGTGTGTGAGAAGACCTATATATTCCGATATCCAAGATGAAGTTGAAGACCTTCGCGTCAATGAAAATGAAGAAGTCTTGCTCTGTTAAGGAACTAAACCTAACATTAAAGGCTGACAGAGATATCTTTGCGCGACTGTTGGTTATCTGTGGAAAACGAGAAATTTCGTTAAGTGACGTTTTTGCATTTTCGTTGGGACCTATTCCTTGGTCGTTAGCCACGTTAGATGGAAGTCTGACAAAAACGGTTAAATCCAAATTATTAAATGCTATCGAAAATGATGTCGATGATGCAACTGTGAGTGCTCTACCAGATGAGTGTGTCCGAGTCTACGATGGAATGATTATCATTCAGCAATTACCTTCCGTATGTTTGGCAACATTCGGCGACATTTCCGAATACGTCCTAAAAAGAATTACATCTCATTCATCAAAAGTTATTTACATGGCCACTGATCACTATTATGATTGTTCCTTAAAAGGCAGTGAACGAAAACGACGTGCTTCTGCTGGGAATATCCGCGTACAGATTAATAGGAGAGATCAAAAGCCACCTAAGCAATTTAAGAAGTACCTGAGTGATGGTTCCAACAAAGTCGACCTTGTAAAATTCCTTCTTCTTGACTGGTCAGACCCAGAACGTTTTAGAGAAGTCATCATGGGTAGAGTCATATTTCTGATAGTAGAGTGCAAGGCTTATCGATTACAGGTGATGGAGAATAGAGTCACCTCAACGCCCGAAGAAGACCTTTCTTCTGATCAAGAAGAAGCAGACACAAAGATGTTCTTGTGTTGCCTGCATGCCATCCGTTATTTCTCGTGTGAAAATATCTGCATTTTTACAGTCGATAGTGATCTTGCCATTCTCGCGATTTATTACAAGAATTATATCCCATGCAATCTCTTTGTTGAAATTGGATCAAAAGCGAAGAAACGGATTATACGTATTGCCAGGATTTCCGAAACCATTGGGAAAGAATTATCAGATGCCCTCCCCGCGTTGCATGCAGTTAGTGGCTGTGACACAACCAGTGCATTTTTTGGAATTGGGAAGCAAAAGTTCTACAAAGTTGTCAACAACTCTGATCGGTTCAAAGAGGTATTGGCACAAATGGGAAACACTTTCGATTTCGATTTGGATCTCTTTCCAGTCTTTCAAGAGATGATTGCTGCATGTTATGGAATTAAGAATTGTACCAAAATCAACGAAGCACGCTATCGTAAATTCTGCACGAAAGCGAAGATTCCTGATCCCCAACAACTTCCACCTACTGAGGACGAGTTATTACTCCATTGCAAACGAGCAAATTACGTCACTTGTATTTGGAAGTCTGCGTTAGTTGCTACAATCAATCCTCCACGCCCTACAGGATATGGCTGGGTAGAAACCGATGGCATATTGGAAGTAAAGTGGATGAGCCAAAAACCAGCGCCTGATTCGTTGTTAGAGTTTCTAGCATGTGGATGCAAAAAATCTAAGTGTCAAAATAATATGTGCATTTGTGTGGCAAATGGTCTAAACTGCACGGATTTGTGCAATTGCAATACATGTGCAAATGGCTTACCAGATGAAGACGACCTTACCAGAAATGATGTATTTGATATGGATGATGACACTGATGATTAAATTCAATAAAACACATTTTCCTTTGTTTCTGATTCGCCGATGTTGAAGAGGTGATCACCAGAACATTTTTTCCTCTTCCTTCGTCCATGGCATTTTGGAAGATAATTTACAAGATAATTTATAGCCTAATTAAAATACAATAAGCGGATAACATAAAGAATTTAAAGGATATACAATCATTCATATTTAAAGAGATAGACAATTGAACGTTTTGCTTTTTTCCTGCTTCGTCGGAGTTTAAAGAGATGGTCAACTGAACATTTTCCTTTTTTCCTGATGAACATTTCTCCACTTTTCCTCGTGCGCTGATGTTTCAATGAACATTACTCCTGTTTTTCTCGTGCACTGATTTCACACAATTTCACGATTTCACAATTATTTTATCTAAGGTATACATATAGGTAGACCTTGAAGTTAGCCCTCTGTTCAGGTCTCCTTTCATCCTAATGAGCGGCGTGCGCTGGGTTCAAGTCGCATCAAAGCATTCTCAATGAGATCGCCGTTAATGAGAATCGAACCCGCAGGCATCAGAGGTTAGTCAGGTGAAAGGCGAGCGCTTCTAACCACTGCGCCACCGAAGCCCCGATAAATGATGATGTTGCCTGGTTTTTTCTTGCGCTGATGTTTCAAGATGAACATTTCTCCAGTGATGCTGAGGTGCGATTTTGTGATCTATGGTCCGAACTACCCATCGAAGATCTGTGAAGCAGATCCATGTTAAATTAATTTATCCGTTTTTTGCGGGCATTTTAATTGACTGTTGATTTACTTTGGAAAAATACAGTAACAATCTATGAACTATAGCGCCTAAAAGGTAAGTGTTGATAAGTATGTTCACCCAGGGACGCCGGAACGATAATAGGGCAAAGGGGGGCGGACGCACACCAAGGGCACCTCTACTGAATTTTTTTTTTTACTGCAAAATTTTTTGGCGACCTCGCACCCCCCCCCCGTCGCCAAAAAAATTTCGGTCAGTGTACCATTTTAGGGGTCAAAAATTTTTTCCGGACATACCAAAATTTTCCGTGAAGTCAAAAATTTTTCCGGATATCTTAAATTTTCGCCATTTCTTCAAAATATTTTTCTAAATTCCAAAAATTTTCCAAAATTTTCCAAAATTTTTATAAATATAAACTATAAATTACCTGAATCTCATGATTTTCCTACAAAAAGCATCGTTGGAAATGTGATTTATCACGTATTATTTTACAACTAAAAGGGCACTTCTGCCCTCCCTGCCCCCCCTAGCAAAAGGCAAGGGGGGCAGCCGCCCCCCCTGCCCCCCCAGTTCCGGCGTCCCTGTGTTCACCCATTTGTTACGGAGATATAAAAGAACATTTCTTGGTTGGTGTTAGTGTTAGGGTTAGAAAAAGATAAAGATAAGAGACAAAAGAAAATAACATTTTATATCCAAAGAGAATAATTCATTTATATATATTTATAGTATAAAAAAGGCGCGTATTTTTATTTTATTCTATTAAAATGTTATTTTACATGACGTATCCTCAAAATTATCGCTGCGGTGGTCAAATTATTGCGGGCTCACCTCTTTTTCGCCGCCATTTTATAAAATTGTAAACATATACTGAGCGACGAAGAAAGCAAACCGTTATTGATGCACACAAGAAAAATGAGCGAAAACAACATTTGAAAACGCAATCAGGGCACTTTGAAGGACGATATTATTACCAAAAGAATTTGCCCCTCGAAAAAGTAAGTAAAATTCCCACTACCTCCCTGACTATAATAATGTCCACAGCTTTCTTATTGGGCCAAAAAAAAAATATGTGGGTTTCCGGTTTCTTCGTATAAAAACTTAGGTAGGGTAGGTCGGTTTTAACTTTTTTTTTTAAACTTTTTTTTTAATTTTTCGAACAAGCGGACGCCATTTTGTTTAGTCAGTGCTTCCACTTCCAAAGATAAATTTCCCTAATATTGCCTCAAATTTCAATTTTCCACAAACTTTTTCCTCTAAGTGGAAACACTTACAAGCATGATCCAATAAAAAAGTTTAGGTTCGGGATTTCGACGTCCAAAAGCTAGGTAGGGTCGGGAAACCGGAAACCCACATATTTTTTTTTTGGCCTTGCCACTACCTACACTGGTACAGAGACAGACAGTTCGAGATTTTATCACAGTAGTGTACTTTATTATATAAACAGAAGTGTTATACAGAGTTTTTGACCACTGAAACAAATCGTATTTAAACATACAAGTCAAAATATCATTTTTGCAAGCCAACCAAAAAGCGCGCAGGAAATATGTTTGACCAATCAGATAACTTATTGTAAAACGCATTGCCACGGTTGTTTTATTGTTTTTCAATTCTGTTTATATAATAAACAGAAAATACGTGGGTGCTTGGAAATACTAGATTTCTCGTGTTGAACATGATATCGAGGTTGTGTATTATTCTCTATGTATGTTCTCTTACCTTTCTGATCGCTAAGTACTAATGACGGCGCATGCAGTGGGTCGTGTATGTTTCTTTCACCTATCTGATCGCTAGATACAAGTAATAATGATGGCGCTATGTTTAGAGTATGTTCCTCTTAGTTGTTCGTGCATGTGCATTTCTCTTCTATGCCCTAGCTAGGTCGGAATATACATGCAGTTGTCCGATTATAATTTAACCTGAGTTTGTATGTGAAAATAGTGACGCTTTCACTCTTCGACGACTATAACAAATACTATAGGTTTTGTCCCTTTTTCCCTTATATTAATGTTGGATCAACGTGGGTGGCCCTTACTGGGCCTCGAGGAAGAACACTTTTGAATTGAAGGCCTGCATGATTCCATGGGCGCTTTCTTCGGCGAAATGCGAAAACTTTCGCGCGAAATGAATTAGGTGCATGCACAGTAAAGATAAATTAAGCTCCCCGAGAAAAATTTCGCTTCACCAGTGAGTAGAAGTCGGTTACACTCACTACGAAAGCGGAAAAATTGGGACAATTCAATGGGGTCGCTCATGTGCAACCATCCGTATTTTGCAGACACAATTTCTTGCGAAGAATTTCGCCATCGTGGAATCAGGCCTTGATAGAGCTAACTTACTATTATAAATAAAAGTTAGTTTAGACTTAGTCTCCTTCTTTTGTAAGCCTGGATGACCAATTAACACCGAGCCTGAATTGCTTTTGTAGAACTGTCTTTAAAACTTATGAAACAGGGTTACAAATTTAATATTTTTCTTGGGGGCTGGTTTAGCATATTCTTTGCAATATCGTCCGCTCTTATAGCTTCCTTACTGCAATAACTTCCTTTATATGCTATAGATGACAACAAAACAAAATAGTTGGTGTTTTTTATTAATATTTATTTTCAGGAAGCTTTCTCACGAAGTGATTTTCAGAAAGGTCCTGAACTAAATAAACAAATTTCCTACATAACTATGAGAAATATTAAAAAAATATACGAGGGAAAGTTCAAAGATTACTAAAAAAGTTAGTCCTAAATGTAGAAATGCCATTAGAGAATTTTAGTTTCTGTCCAAGCTGTTCCAATCTGTTACGGCCTGATGAGCGAGTCTTTGCTTTCCCCAGTTTCTTGACACTTTAGGTAGCCTTAAATTGTCCTTAGTTTCCCTTAGATCTTACCAAATAGTACCATTTCACTAACAGAGAAATACTTGTCTGTAATAACCTGCACATGTATGTGTAATAAAGGGTTATTGACCGAGCGTGAGGTCTGTACTGTCAAATATCAGACCGAGGTTTTTTAGTATGGACCGTGCGACGAAGGAGCGAGGTTCATGCAGAAAAAACAGAGGTCTGATATTTCACAGTACAGACCGAACAAGCGAGCTCAATAATCGGTTTATTATATGGCTGAACTGAGTCTGTGAGCTTATGCTTTTCGCGCGAATTAAATCGCCTATCGTCAGTTTCACTGGGTAACAATATACGGTATAGGCATGCATGCTCGATCAAAAAAAATCTGTAAAGCACAATTGGAAATTTAAAAAGCAAATTTTTTTTCTGCTTTTTAAATAAAACATCGTTTTTAAATAAAACGACATCCGGGACACCGGTCCAGGTACGGAAAATACGGACCACGGTCCGGATATGGGTTTTTACGGACCGCTTGTCAACCAATCAGAATAGAGAATTTTGAAAAGCCATATAATAAACTGTGTTAATATTTATCTTTGACTTCATTTGACCAGGCCAACATCGACTGCGACTTTGATTAAAATTGAAGGATTTTCTGAAAAAATGTGCGAAAGATTTGGTCAAGAAATTGTGAATTTTGTTTCGAAATATTGCAAAGAAAATGATCTGTCTATGGACAAAATGTCTTCGCTTCAGGTAGGTCGAGCTGTTTTGTAAGACGGTAGAGCTGTTCCACAGGGTGTGTTGAACCTACGGCGATGTTGGAGGAACGCTAACAAAATAATTCATTAGCATCTGTTGTATTACGAGTGTGTTTTCCTCCAAGGGGTTGATTGCCATCAACTAATAGGTTTTCTTTTTTCATACTTATAAAGATCAAGACCTTTGAGTATCTATACAGTAGTGGCACCTTTTTTTGTTTCATTGTAAACAAAATTGGCCAAATACGAATTAGGGAGTTAATGTGGCCGATCGAAATCGCATTTTCTACCTTAGGGAACTGAATACTATTGTGTAAGCATTGGCGGATACCCCCGTTAGGTTGCCATGGGTCGTATTAACTAAACATCACAAGTATACATTATTGTCATTTGTAACTCACCATGCAAGCAACCATACTTGCGAAATTTGCATTTTATATTTCAACATTTTATCTTTTAGCAATCCGTTGTTTCCGCTGCAATATCACTGTCAGCAACCGTGGCTGCTTCTTACAAAGCTTTTCACGAAGGAAATCAGTCTATAGTAAGTTTTCTTAGTCAGCCCATCTATTTGTTTCGGCCTTTGAGTAGAGCTGTTCACTGCAATGACGTCACTCAAAAAATATGGAAATGCATGGTGAAAATTTTGACTTGCATGATTACAACGGGCAATTTCGCCAATCGCTGGTGCGTTAGAAAAATTAAAAGTGTATACACGAGATACACGAGGTATTCCCAGGCGGTCGTCCATTCAAATGGCGTGTAAATCCCATTTGCGTGACGGGTTTGGTTAAGGTTTTCAACTTTGTTTGCTGTACGAAACAAACGCCATTGTCCACCAATGTCCCCCATTGGCCATCAATGTCCACCATTGCCTATTCAGTTATAGGAACATCAGGTGTGGAAAATATAGGCGAGCACGCGAGCACTGCCCGCAGCCCGAAATGTTAAACAGCTGCAGGAAATTCGTTTGAATGAAGATTTGCTATTGTAAATTTGAAGGAAACCTTAACACCCATGTCCCACTATGGACGCAACAACGTATGGTTGACAACCATTCCTTGAATTTAAAACCATGGTCAGCTAGAACACTACATGTTTATGCGCATACAGATTTAGTACAAAAATAGTTCGGTTTTCCTGCTCTAAGGGACATCGACAAAATGTTACTTTACCGTATAGCATTTTTTCTCAACATGTTCAGTAATTACATGCTGAAGGAAAGTGAGAAGTTAACCGAAAAGTATAAAAATTTATATCTTGTGTTTTATAAATTCGTAGAATAAAACATCCAGTTTAGATATTTAAATGTTTCTATAAGTTTCTCTTAGCTAAACAGGTTAAAGTTATCGGCTTCTAAAAAAACCATTATACTTATAGTTATGTATTTGCTAAACATTCTCTTGATTTTTTTTTAATTCCATTCAGGAAGAAATTGCAAAGTCTCGCAACTTGGTTACAGGCACTATTGAAGGTCATCTTGGCGAGGCTGTCAAAGCTGGCTGCCCTGTCGACCTTAAAAGAGGTAATAACACTTTGCAATTTTTAACTGGCTTATTGGCTGAGACTATTATTTTTCATATTTAAAACACGTTCGTGCGTATTTTCCCAGTTGCACTCGAAACTCGGCTGTTAATTACACAAAGAACGCCATGCCAACACGATAAATTATTACACACAAGAAGGAGTAGCATGTGTTGACGTGATTAAAAAATCACAAGATGAATTTGAATTTTCTTGGCAAGAGCAAGACAACTTACGACAATATTTGAAGAGATTTTTGATAACATATCATTAAATTTTGCGTTCGGTTTGGTTGTTCAACTTAAACATGTGTTTGTTGATTTGCTAAAATTTTGTTTAATTTTCTATACTTATTTGCAGAAATTATTTGAGATTTTTATATTTACAGTTTCTATCGCCATATAGATTTATCCAGAAAGTCTGCAGTGATGCAGTCTATTCTGATGAGTAACGAGTTTTGAAAATTTGTTTGGCAAGTTGAATTCCATAATTTAATTGATGTTGGCTTAGGTCGGCACTTAAATATGATTGGCTGAAAATTATGCGACCACATCTCAAGATGATGCCTTTCTACTCAAAATAATTTGATTCGGGAATTAATCGCACTGTTTCTGAAGAATTGACTTCAAATTGATCACGAATATAATACTGTAAATAATATAATTTCTTCAACACAAAGGTTATTGACTTAGTACAAAGCAACTGCAGGGTGTTGACTTTCTTAAATGTATATAAGTTTAAAAAATTTAAATATATAACTTCGTGTTTTTTTATGTTGTGAGCTGGTGTATCAGATGATATCTATGACCAAGTTGTGTCGGCGTATAAATCAGTTCATTTTGGCCCAGGTAAGTTATATACGTACTGCATGGATGGTAAAAGTTATTCACAGACCCTTGACATAGATCCTTGACGTGACGTCAAATGAAACCCAAGAATATATAACTTAGGCCTGTTCCATACGCCGTACTTCACATGTGCCGAATACATTAAAGACAATAGACAATGAGCTGAATTACCGCATTATCTATTGTTTTTAATGTATTCGGCACATGTGAAGTGCGGCGTATATGAAACGGGCCTTAACGCGCTTATTTTACCAATGCTTTCATGGGTGAAAAATGACTGTTACAGCTTTGTTGCACAGTTATTCAGCAATCATTCAAAGGCTTTCAGAAATTATTGGAGAGTACTTTCCACCTGCCCCCTGCCCGCCTCCAAGTACCGCCCACTGATAGTTACTCCCAATCCCATCTCAAGTAAAGAAAGAAAATGTGTAGATTTATTAACTCTCCTTCTTCGCGTGTGTTACCATGCATGTTTTTCTTCTCCCTTTGGAATATCAAATTCTTTCTTTGACGTTTAGCGTATTTTTTCAGACGGTTTCAGACTTGGTCCAATCAAGGAACAACTACCAGCTATAGGTTTTGGTAAAATCAAACTAGCTTTGGCACAATTGGAAAAATCAACTGGTCAAGTTATTCAAGAGGTAATAAAACTGTGCATGAATGCTTTAAGTACTATTTAAAACACGAGCAGGAGAAGTGCTTTATCAGATGTGGAACCAGATAGTTTTAAATTTCCTCGAGTGTTTTAAAGCACGGACTGCCAGTGTTTAAAATCGCTTAAAAAATTATCCATCTTTGGCGTAGTAATTTTAAAAATAAATGTTGTCTAAGCCGAAGAAACAAAAGCTAAATTTTATGTAAATTAACATAATTTTGTATCACATCTACTGTAAAACCACGAACATGGCAGTGATTTTCTTTGTATTCTCCTCATGAATTATTAATGAATTTTTAAGAGTTTAAACAATGAGTGATTGGATGACCTGAAAAGCAAGGGATTTTGAAAACAATGAAATGACAACCGGATATTCTGATGCCACTATTGTAATGACGAGTGTTATATAAACAGCTGTTGACCTGTATGCCTTGGGTCAAGATTCTCTTCATCTTAGTTAGTAAACTGCCAGTTTTAGAAAGTTATGGGATCACGTAAAAACGGGCCTTCGTGCAACAGTTTCAGGCGTTTATCACATCCAGTGAAGACTCAGTGAGCTCAATATATAACTGGAGCAAGAACTTCAGTCATTCAGTCTATGAGAAAAGTGAAGGCAAGATGGCGACCATTGACGTCCAATATCTATGACGGTCGTAAACAGTTTTCATATCATTTTCCTGCTAATCCCAGCTTTTTCCAGCGGACGGTATCACTGAACAAGTTATATCAGTTCATGATTCTTTGAATCGAAGTCAAAATACGAAATTTTGGCACACTTCTTGCAGCTTCGTGTTAACCGCGCAGACAAAACCAGTAGAAAGAGACTGGAACTGCATGATGTCCATCTTGGCTTCACTTTTTGGGCTTGAGTTTTCACTCCGGATATGTATGGAGTTCACTGTGAACACTATCAAATTCCTATTCTTTAGACAAACAAAAACATCAGCTCATCGCAAGGAACAAAACGGAAACTACCGGCAATGATAAATAAGAGTGACCCGTCCAAAAGGCGTCTTAAGATTTAGGTACAGTACTAACTGTTTAAATATTTATATTTGACGCCTAAATATGTAGATATACTACAAGTAGAAAGTGAAATGTTCATATTTTATTATTATATTAGTAAATATCTGAAGACTTAATATCTTAAACCACACATAGATTGGCAGATTGCATGCTGGGTTAATTTAGGGGCCATTCACAAAGGATGTCCGGCCAAATGATGGATTTTCAGACCCCCCCCTCCCCCCCTTGTCCGGCATTGTCCGAATTAGTGACCCCCTCCCCCCGGACATCCACCATGCCTCGCAAAAACTCACACAACCTTGTATATGTCAAGAGTAAAAAACTTTTTTACTTTTAGAACTTTTTTATAATGTGAATACACAAAAACATATAAATTACTCATTAAAACAAAATCTAGTGTTAACCGCAGAGTCAAAATGCCAATTTCACAATGAGAAGGACTGCTCAAAATAGAGGGAAAAAGAAATTTGTTTTTGAATTTTTTAAAATTTCGGACATCCGGATTGCTAACCCCACCCCCCCTCCCCCCCTATGTCCGAGTTTGTCCCGATTTTCCAAACCCCCCTCCCCCCTTGGCTCGAACATCCTTTGTGAATGGCCCCTTAACAGTGTCAGAGAGTTTTTGTGTTTGCCGACGAAACCAGCTTGATTGACTCTCAAAATACTCTTAAGCTATATATTATTTGTTCCTGTTTGTGTCCTGCAAGTGACCGAAAAATAACATATAATACGATAAACTTTTCAAGCCAGACCAGGAAATAATCACTCGATTACTTGACTGTAATAGTTTAAGTAAACTTTGCAATCAACCAAGATGCAAGTCAATGTTATTGAAACACATCAGTTCTCAAACTATATTATTATACAGAATGATGGGAAATGTCACTATTATTATTATTAAAACTTTATTTACACACGGTATTCTCATCAGGATTTGACATGCAACAAACTGAATTAGATAAATTACAAAAGTAGAACCACGCTAAATAGAAAATATAATACCTGCTTTTCATGAGGGCCTTGTACTAAGCTAATAATATAACAATATATACAAAGAAAGTTCAAATAATTTGGCACAGCCCGTTCGGAAATTTATCAAGTTATTCGCTTGCCGTAGCCCAATCGGAAGACTGTTCCACAGCACCGCACCACTATAGCTAAAGCTATTCTTGAGATAGTTTGTGCTGGGCTTTGGAACAGCTAGTTTGTTCTCAGTGTTTCTCAGCGAATAAGGATTAACACTGTCACGGTTTACAAACATGGAATGCATGTAATCAGGAGCAAGACCATTTAATGATTTATACAGGGTGTATCAAAATAAACGCAATTCATCTTTTGTGCTTAATAACTTTCGAAATACTATTTCTAGTTAAACGCTTTTAGGCTTACTTCAAAGCCTGTTCTTTTCTCTTTCAAACAAACTATTATCCTTGTCTCCAATGCTATATAGTAATAATTGCACAGGAAATGATTCAGATTCGCGCTGATCTATGTGTGATGCGGCTGGAGACTGGCGAAAGCGCGCGTTTTGCGAGAAATACAAAAAGAACGGCACAAAAATGGCAACAAAAAGATTTGCCGAAGACTACGAAATAACAAACGAAAATATAGGTAAGTTTTAAATTATTACATAATTATTTAACGCAATTTGAAAGAAACACTATTATACTTCAGCTTTACTTAATTAAAATAAACAAAAAGCGCATTGCGTTGTAAAATGTCAATGTTTTAAGAAATGTTTTGATTTTTGTTCCCTTCAAAATTTGTTATTTTTGCGCACAAAGTAAGGTTTTAATACGAGTTTTTTAACGCTCTAGGTAGTCCTAGGTGAATTTGATAGCACAAAAAGTTTCCCAAATTAACATACTTGAGAATAATTAAAATTAAGAGTCGGACTTTTTTGGACTTTTTTTGCTATAACTTTTTTCCCTGAACATAGTGCTGTTCATCATTTGTATCGCAAGGAGAAGCAACGCAAGTTAACACGAAAGTTTTTAAAATATCAAGCGGAACATTTTAAATATTGTTCAATCTAATTATATTGCCACAATATTTGATTTTAGATACAAATAACATTCCCCAAGCCGTCAAAGACATAATTAGTTCAAAAACAATTAGTTTCAAAAACAATATATAGATCATGTCAGCTCGATAAAGTACAGCGTATACGGCCATTTTAGAGGCCATGTTTACGTTTTGAAAAAGAACCGCGGAAAAATTGTATTTTTGCGTGTAGTTTTTTTTATAGGTGTGAAACATCCCCTAAAAAATTGTACAAACTGAAATCAAGTCATAATATATCAGAAATTTTTTAAAAGAAGACAGACTTTTTCGTCGAAACATATTTTTTTAGCCTTAAATTTCAGCATGTCAGCTCGACAAACTGCCGAGAGAATACGGCCATGTTTACGTTTTGAAAAAGAACCGCGGAAAAATTGTATTTTTGCGTGTAGTTTTTTTCCTAGGTGTGAAACATCCCATAAAAAATCGTACAAACTGAAATCAAGTCATAATATATCAGAAATTTTTTAAAAGAAGACAGACTTTTTCATCAAAACATTTTTTTTAGCCTTGAATTTCAGCATGTCAGCTCGACAAACTGCCGAGGATGCGGCCATGTTTACGTTTTGAAAAAGAACCGCGGAAAAATTGTATTTTTGCGTGTAGTTTTTTTCCTAGGTGTGAAACATCCCCTAAAAAATTGTACAAACTGAAATCGAGTCATAATATATCAGAAATTTATCAAAAGAAGACAGACTTTTTCGTCGAAACATATTTTTTTAGCCTTGAATTTCAGCATGTCAGCTCGACAAACTGCCGAGGATGCGGCCATGTTTACGTTTTGAAAAAGAACCGCGGAAAAATTGTATTTTTGCATGTAGTTTTTTTTATAGGTGTGAAACATCCCCTAAAAAATTGTACAAACTGAAATCAAGTCATAATATATCAGAAATTTTTTAAAAGAAGACAGACTTTTTCGTCGAAACATATTTTTTTAGCCTTGAACTCCAACATGTCAGCTCGACAAACTGCCGAGAGAATACGGCCATGTTTACGTTTTGAAAAAGAACCGCGGAAAAATTGTATTTTTGCATGTAGTTTTTTTCCTAGGTGTGAAACATCCCCTAAAAAATTGTACAAACTGAAATCAAGTCATAATATATCAGAAATTTTTTAAAAGAAGACAGACTTTTTCGTCGAAACATATTTTTTTAGCCTTGAATTTCAGCATGTCAGCTCGACACAAACTGCCGAGAGAATACGGCCATGTTTACGTTTTGAAAAAGAACCGCGGAAAAATTGTATTTTTTGCATGTAGTTTTTTTCCTAGGTGTGAAACATCCCCTAAAAAATTGTAAAAACTGAAATCAAGTCATAATATATCAGAAATTTTTTAAAAGAAGACAGACTTTTTCGTCAAAACATATTTTTTTAGCCTTGAATTTCAGCATGTCAGCTCGACAAACTGCCGAGAGAATGCGGCCATGTTTACGTTTTGGAAAAGGACCGCGGAAAAATTGTATTTTTTGCATGTAGTATTTTTCCTAGGTGTGAAACATCCCCTAAAAAATTGTACAAACTGAAATCGAGTCATAATATATCAGAAATTTATCAAAAGAAGACACACTTTTTCGTCGAAACATATTTTTTTAGCCTTGAATTCCAACATGTCAGCTCGACAAACTGGCGAGAATGCGGCCATTGTATACAGAATGTGCACTAACCTTTTTTTCACAACATTTGGTGCTCATCACGTTTGCTTGCTGAATACACACGTTCTTTCTCGGAAATAGTATATTACTTTCTCTTGTCATTTTAGCTTTTAAAAGATTTTCGGGCTTTAACGTTGTATCCTGAACTACAGAGATCCAATGGAATGTACATGCATGTCACGTCCTCGATTCGATTCGAACATTTCATACATCGTGTAATCGGTGGCGCCACATCTTAAGGTTTTCTAGCAATATACCACTCTTTAATAAATGAGGTATATATACGTTGCCACTGGACATGAACAATAACTCTTGCATTTAATTCAAACCAGGAAAAATCCACAACACACCTCGTTTTATGTAATGTTTCAAACCAGTGCTTCCATTTTCAAAATCAAAATTTCTCATTTTTGTCATCAAAATTTCTCTAAATTCCTTAGATTGTATACGTTATTTCCTTGAAAATTCCTTGAAATTTTATTAGGCGGTTTGCAGACCTTTGCAGTGCTTTTGTAGCAATACAAAGGATTTAATCAATTGTAAAGGCACAAAATAGCACAATTAACAAAGATAATTGCTAGCTAAAAAACCACAGGCTATTATACTGTTTAAAATTAAATATTTGTTCAGTGAGTTTACAACATATACCTTTCCATTGATATAAATAATTAATTCACAGCGTTTGGCGCCAAAAGATACCAAATCCTGTCGCTCAAAAACTTTCGGACGTTTTCGGAAACACGAGGAAAAAGTTAAAACCAGATTTTTAATTGAACATAATTGATAATTCACTCAAAAATTCAAGAAATAGCGAAACATTCTTCTGCACTAATGCACTTGGATGAATATTTAAGTTGTTGGGAAAAAATCCTTAGATTTCCTTAGATTTTTTCTCTTCCTTAGATTTTCCTTTTTGACACAAAAATTTCCTTAGAAAAGGAAATTTCCTTGAAAATGGAAGCACTGCTGTATTTTTCAAGTATTTTGTTATAAGAGTTACCATCTAGCGCAAACATGGCTTCCACAATAGTGAAATATAAAATATCAAACACTGATTGGTTCGCCAAAACAAATCGCTGCGAGAAAGATGTATCAGTTTCGTCTGCTCAGAATAGTCCATCTCTATTCTCTTCCAATAAGGGTGGATTAATCTCATTTTTCGTTCATGTTTTTGAGTTTATTCTAACGATTGCGAAATCTCGCGCATCAATAATTTTTGTTTTGTAAAGTGGAAACACGACATTAATCTTTTATTCTTTTTGGGCGCTATATTTTGATACTCGTGTTGTTTGTAATGTTTGCAAACTGTATCTCTGAATATTCTCATTTTTATGATCAGAAATTCTGTAAGAACCGAGGTATTGTACAGATTCAATAAAGAACGACTCGAGGGAACAGTTGGGTGATATTTTTTATCGTAATTTGACCGTACGGCGAAAAGATCAAAAGCTGAAACCATGTCTAGGAAATGCGACTTGTGCAACAAGATATTTTCCCAGAGAAGCTCTTTGCTAAGACATAAAAGAACACACACTGGAGACAAACCTTATGAATGTGATGTTTGCAACAAAAGATTTTCCCGGTCACATGCCTTAACTGTACATAAGAAAACACACACTGGAGACAAACCTTATGAATGTGATGTTTGCAACAAAAGATTTTCGCAGTCAGGTCACTTTACTGACCATAAGAGAACACACACTGGAGACAAACCTTATGAATGTGATGTTTGCAACAAAAGATTTTCCCGGTCACATGTCTTAACTGTACATAAGAAAACACACACTGGAGACAAACCTTATGAATGTGATGTTTGCAACAAAAGATTTTCCCGGTCACATGTCTTAACTGTACATAAGAAAACACACACTGGAGACAAACATTATGAATGTGATGTTTGCAACAAAAGATTTTTGCAGTCAGGTCACCTTACTGACCATAAGAGAACACACACTGGAGACAAACCTTATGAATGTGATGTTTGCAACAAAAGATTTTTGCAGTCAGGTCACTTTACTGACCATAAGAGAACACACACTGGAGACAAACCTTATGAATGTGATGTTTGCAACAAAAGATTTTCAACACACACTGGAGACAAACCTTATGAATGTGATGTTTGCAACAAAAGATTTTTGCAGTCAGGTCACCTTACTGACCATAAGAGAACACACACTGGAGACAAACCTTATGAATGTGATGGATGTTATATTTGTAAGAAGAGATTTTCACAATCAAGCCACTTAGCCACTCATAAAAAAACACATACCGGAGAGAAACCTTTTGAATGTGACATTTGCAACAAGAGATTTTCAGAATCATACAAGTTGACGCGACATAAAATATCAGCACACAAGGTAAAGCAGTGTTTTGAGTGTGCTAAATGTAAGAAAACATTCACACAACATAAAAGTCTCAAACGTCACTGGAGAGTACATTCAAGAGATGGCTTATTATTGTGCAACGGTTGTGGCAGGGAAATTATTCAAGAAAAAGGGCATGTTGGTGAGATACTGAGTGGCGATTATTTTGTCTGTGACAAGTGCGACAAACAATTCCCTGATATTGAAAGTTTATATCAGCACAAGGCCAAAGACCATGCGTCCTACCAATGTGATGTCTGTAAGGAATTCGAAGCAAAAGAAGCAACTGGTATTGGTTATATCTGTTGTGTCTGCGATGCCGAGTTTGAAATCCCCACTGAACTTGAAGATCATGTGAGTATGCATGACAATGTGCTGCCCCACTAGCAAGGCAAGATAAATTGAAAATATTTTGCATAATATTAGGCTGAAGTGATAAGAAAAAATCAATATATCGATATTGAACAAAAATATCGACTATATCGAATTATGAAATTAGAAAACGTAGTTCAGTCAGCCCGCACTGTTCTTGAAGGAAATCCAAACAGGGCTTTGAATTGTTGATTTGACATATTTATTGTCTAGACTTTCCAGTGAGTCTAGACAGTGAATTAGAGATTTTGATTCCGTGTTTACGAGTCATCACATTAATATTTCACATAGTTATTGTTTTCAAAAACTGTCGTTCATGTGGATGGTGATCTTCTGTGATCATCTTACTATGTTTACACTTTTAAATTGCCAACTCTCAATTGCTGTCACATGTGCATTTTCTCAACTTTACAGAAGGAGATTCAGTTCTCTAGTTAAAAGGTTCCATATTGTCGATATGCGAAAAGTGCATAATATTTTCAAATATTAATATTGTGGAAATATCGATATTTATCAAAGATATTTAACAGTTATTCTACGAACTCGAGTCGAATATGAGCTGATAGCCGATGAGGCGCGTAGCGCCGAATCGGCTATCGCTCATATTCGATGAGAGTGAGTGGAATAACTGTTTTATTATATACACAAGGTGTGAATTCACAGACTTTGCTTTTCGGATATTTTCAATTTTGTTTCGGATATTTTCAATATTTTTCTATTTTGTTTATGTTTTTATCTTCGCTCTTTCGGCCGATTATTTTTTCAAAAATATATATTTTTAACCATTTTAAATTTTAAAAAT